TCCTTGACTATGATGTCATCAATTAATCTCTCCTCATTATACAATACCAAATCCAGAGTATCCTTCTCCCTGGTTGGTCCCCCAACATACTGCCCCAAGAAACAATCTCTAACACATTCAATGAACTGTGCCTCCAGGTTACCCTTGCCAATCTGCTCCTTCCAAACTATGTGCATGTTAAAATCGCCCATGATTATTGCCGTACCTTTCTTGCAAGCCTCTAATATTTCCTGGTTTATACTGTGCCCCACTGCAGAACTACTGCTTGGGGACCTATAGATTACACCTACCAAGTACTTCTTTCCTTTGCTATATCTTATTTCTACCCAGACTGATTGCACATCTTGATCTCCCGTGCTTATGTCATTTCTCATTACAGCACTGATCCCTTCCCTCACCAGCAAAGCGACGCCACCTCCTTTTGCTTTCAGTCTATCCGTCCAAAATGCCAAGTACCCCTTCAATAGTCAATTTCCAGACCTTGTCTCCTTGTAACCATGTCTCAGTAATTGCTACCGAATCATAGCATTTTGTTTCTATTTGTGCCATTAACTCTAATTTGTTTTGAATGCTTTGTGTATTTAGAAACAAAGCTTTTAAATTTGTTCTACTGGTAAATTTCCCTACTCTTTTATAAATCCTTGGTGCATGAGGACAATCACCTGTTCTGTCCCTCACCTTTATTGTCTGGTAACCATCTGCCACATCGCTAACCTGCACTCTTACCTCCTCCTTTAATTTGAGTTTTCTAATTTCCCCTACAATTGAACCTTCCCCCCACCCCATTTAGTTTAAAGCCCTGTCTATAGCCCTAGTTATATGATCCACTAGGACTCTGGTCCCAGCACAATTCACATGAAGCCTGTCCCATCGGAACAGGTCCTTTCTTCCCCGGTACTGGTGCCAGTGTCCCATGAATTCAAACCCATTTCTCCCAAACCAATCTTTCAGCCAGGCATTTACCTCCTTAATCTTATTGACCCTGTGCCAATTAGCTTGTGTCTCCGGTAGTAATAGAGATTATTATCTTCTTGGTTCTGCTTTTTAATTTGGATCCTAGCTGTTCATATTCCTTTAGCAGAGCCTGTTTCCTAGAGTTCGTGGAGTTAAAGGGATAGTAGCAGCATAAATGTGAAATTTACTGAGTGACAGGAAACAGATTGATGTTTATTGGATTTTCATTGGTTGGGAAAAGGAGGTTTGTAGTGGAATACTGCAGCGATGGGACTCCAGCTTTTCCTCATGCGTATTAATGATCTGTATCTTGGTTTTCAGGAAACAATTTCAAAATTTGAGAATAATTTGAAACTTGAAAGCTTCTTTTCGAAGTTTACAGAACTTCGAAAGGACACAGACATTTTAGTAGAGAGGGTGGACAACTGGCACTATTGGATCAATGTGGACAATTGAGCTATAATTAACTTTGATAGGAATAACACAAAGAGGCAGTATAGAGTAAAGGCTTTGAAATAACTCTACACAGGCTGGTATCCTGTCACAAGTCACCCTTTATTTACACACATATTGTAATTGGCATTGGTCTGGCTTCTTTAGAGCCAGCTCTCAGAGTGAGCAGAACCCCTGATACTCCTGTTTATATCTGTCAGCCAGGACTCCCTGATTGGAGCTGTTAACCTGGTTCAATCAGGGAACTCATTTTCTATGAGGTCCACCTGACTGACCTCATTACAATCTCTACATCCCTCACAACTAAATCCGGGGACGTGGGCCTATTCTTTTCCTTGTAGCCTCTCCTGGGGCATTTTTGCACCAGTTCCGGTTCCTCTGACCCAGCCTCGGATACAGGTGGCGTGTACCGGACCATAGGCCACCTTTTGTGCCCTGAGCATCTCAGAAGAAATCCATCCTCTTCTTTAGGTGACATTGGCCGTGTCCATCTCAGACTTAGATTTCTTTGACACTAGTTGGAGGGGGAGAACCCATGGATTCCAGCTGTTCTCAGGGGCCGGCAATGTTTTGGTTCTGCCCTGTTTGCGAGTTTGCAGCTTTCATGTGCTTGCTCAAGACCGCCTCACCTACCCAGATTTTGTATGTCATGGGACCTCACCTCGTGTTGACCATGCCTCTTCTGGAGCTCTCCTTTTATGCTGAATGCCATTCAACTTCAGGAAATACTTGAATACCCTGCTAGTAAATGATGGCCTGTTGTTTGTGACCAACACTTCTGCCAGCTTGTGTATTGTAAAAGATGCTTGCAGCTTTTCAATCATCATTACCTTCATCATCATCATAGGGAAGGTAATGGCCTAGAGGTATTATCGCTGGACTGTTAATCCAGAGACCCAGATAATGTTTGGGGACCTGGGTTTGAATCCCACCATGGCAGATGGTGGAATTTGAATTTAATAAATATCTGGAGTTAAGAATCTGATGATGGCCGTGAATCTGTTGCCGGTTGTTGGAACCCAGCGACGCCCTTGTCCCGTGAATGAATAAAGGATACAAAAAATTGAATGAACTCTACGCAGATCCAACCACTTTGAATGGGCATCCACAATGACCAGGAACATTAAGCCCATGTGAAAGGACTGGCGTAGTCGATGTATAACGGAGTCCAGAGTTTACCTGGCCATTACCATGAGCTGCTGGCTGTAACTTTTGTCCTTGTTCCATTATCCATTTATTCATTCACAGGATGAGGGTGTCGCTGACTGGGCCAGCATTTATTGCCCATCCCTGATTGCCCAGAGGGCAGTTAAGTGTCACCCTCAGTGCTGTGGGTCTGGAGTCACGTGTAGGCCAGACCAGGTGAGGATGGCAGTATCCTTCCCTAAAGGACATTAGTGAACCAAATGGGTTTTTCCCAACAATCAGCAATACATTTATGGTCATCATTAGATTCCTAATTCCAGACAGTTAATGAGTTCAAATTCCATCATCAGCCATAGCGGGATTCAAACCCGGGTCCCCAGAATGTTATCTGAGTCTCTGGATTAACAGTCCAGCAATAATACCAATAGGCCATTGCCTCCCCTTGGCGGTCTGGGCACTGCCAAGCCAATGTGGCTATGTCAGTATCCAATGGCTAACCACCAGACATAAATTCTCAGCAACATCTTCATTTTGGATGACCCTGGTAGAGTTCAGCCAGTATCTGGTGGTGATCTTTGCTCAGGACAATCACTCTTGCTCCCTATAACAAAATGCCATCTTCCACAGTGATCTGGTCTCACCGCATGCAGAAACATTTCAATTCTGGTTGTGATGGCTTTTTTGTTTCCTCCATCACCAATAGCTGTTCTGGTTTTGCCAAGACCAGACCTTATTGCGTCCACAGTCTGATATTTTCAGCGGTGACCAGAAGGGTATCCAGAAAGTTTAAAAGCAGGTGGTGATGTATTTGCCAGTATGAGGCAGCATCCATATTTACTACTTGGCCTCTGAGACAGTGTTCCAACTTGTAATTGCACACACTTAGGTTGAACGTCCACTGCTGAATTCAACCTGAAGCTATGAGCGGCACAGCCTTATCCTCTTTGAGTAGGCCAAGTGAGGGTTTGTGGTTTGTAACTATTACAAATTTATGTTCATAAAGATATTGGCCGGACCTTCTCACATCAAAGATGACCACCAAACCTTCCTTCGCTATCTCGGTGTATTTATGCTCTGCATCAGCCAAAGTCCGGGAAGCATATGCTATTGGGCGTTCCTCTCCATTGGGTTATCTGAAAGCCAACACTACCCTGATACCATATGGGGAGGCATCGCATGTCAGCACCACATCTCGCTTGGGATCGTATTGTGCCAACAGCTTAGACAACAATAGCTGCTTTTTCACTTCACTTAAGTCTATGTCTTGGCTATGAGAACATTTCCAAGGCTGCATCTTTTTCAATAGCAGATGTAGGGAGCCAGGATGGAGGCCAGGTTATGTATGAACTCTCTATAATAATTCACCAACCCAAGGAAAGACCTAAGCTCTGATACACACATGGGAGCTGGGACAATTTTGATTGCTGTTGCTTTATCTTCCAACAAGTGTAACCTGGTTTTGAGAACTCTGTAGCCCAAACTTGGGGTGCCTGGAACACACATTTTTCCCTTCTAAGGTTTACGCCCACCTTGGGGCAAACCTTGTAAAATGTTCTCCATTGTCCGCTGAAAAATGGCACAGGCTGATGATACCCCACAAATGGCAGCAAATACAATGGCCTGCTGGCCTGGATCCTGAAGAAAATGCTGACTGTTGGCCAAGGCTTGGCTTTGTTTTGGGGTTTATTAATAGCTATAGAGGGTACAGGAGCAAAGAGGTGATGTTGAATTTGTATAAGACATTAGTTAGGCCTCAGATTATTGAATCCAGCTCTTGACACTACACTTTAGGAAAGTATGAAGGCATTGGAGACAGTACAAAGAATATTCATGAGAATGGTTAGAGGGATGAAAAACCTCTGTTATGAAGACGGATTGGAGAATTGGGGCTGTTTTCCTGAGTACAGTGAAGGTTGAGGGGAAATTTGACCAAAGTGTTCAAAATCATGGAGGTGGCTGGACAGAGTCGACAGAGAGAAACTGTTCCCATTGGTGGAAGGACCAAAAACCAGACAGCACCGATATAAAATAATTGGGAAAAAAAGCAATGGAAACACTATTTACTATTTCACATAGCAAGTGGTGAGGGTCTGGAATGTGTGTAGAGAAGGCAGGTTCACCTGAGGTATTCAGAAGGGAAATAAATTGTTATCTGTAAAGGAAGAATGTATAGGGTTATGGGGAGAAGTTAGGAGAATGGTACTAAGTGACTTGCTCCTTCAGAGATCCAGCACAGACACAATGGACTAACTGGCCTCATTCTGTGCTCTAACCATTTCGTAATTTTAAAAGAGAAATAGACAGGAAATGGTCCTGTGTGAATACTAAGTCCATCTTTGGATCTATAATCTGTCCCTGTCAGAGACACACCAATCAGGTCACAGGGTCCGGACCAGGAGTCATATGCCACACTGAACTTTGTGAGAGTTACTCTGAATAAATTTTACCTTCGACAATTGAGCAGATGGCCAGATCCTTGGCTGTATAAAATTCTGGCTTTTCCACATTGCTTCCTGGTTTGGGAATCCGTATCTTTGACAATATTCTCCCTCCTATTCTCCCAGAGTTGCGGAGTGGAGGTTCAAAGATGCTGATCTCATCAGTGGCCACATGGAAGCTGAGGATAAAACGCCGATTCCAGTCATCAGGATTCCTGGACTCCTGCATCCAAGATAGGAGTACATTTAATAACAGGGCCTGGTACTCATTATCACAGAGCTCCAGAACAGAATCACCCTGGCCTTCACTGTGAGCACAGCTCACCCAAATTTGCAACTTACTCCTGCCCTGTGCCCCCTCCCCGCACTCTCTTGCCTCTCCTGTGTCCCATCTCCTCCCTATCTCCATCTCCCATGTGACAACCCCCACACTCCCGTGTTCCCGGTCTCCTGCTCTTTGCTCTGTCTTCCCCTGTACCAGCTCCTCTAATGTGCCTCACTGACCCACCCTGTTCTCCCCCTTTTTTCTACTTACCCTGGTTTAATAAAGTGCAATCCTAACCTTTGTGTACTGGCTGGCTTGCCATAGTCATGTCACCTTTGCTGTAAGTGCATTTGTGTGCAGTCAGTGAGAGTCATTAAACATATCACTTGAAACATGGTGCAGCTAAAAATGTGCAGATTTTCATAGCAGTAAGAGAGTCAGATACTGAAACAAAAAGCAAGGAAGGAGTAAGAAACCTGGTTGATATGGATGAGTTGGGCCGAAGGTCTTGTTGCTGTATTGTATAACTCTGTGCCTGTGACTCTATGACCGTATTTTCCAATCCCTCCTCCTCTAGAAACAAAAGGGATTTTTTTCTTCTATTTTCACGGGAAAATATATGAAATAGCAACCAGAGCATTCAAGAATAGTCTTTGTTATCAGGGCTGTGGAAAGAGTGATCTTAGTTGTATTATAGGCCCCGGGAGGCCACTGCGGAGCTGCAAAGTCAGACAGTATATATTTTGAAAGTTTTAAAGGCACACTTTGAACACCATATTAAATGGTAATTGTATTTAACATCAGAGCTCAGGGGGAAGAGGGAGACTATTGATCAGTGACTAGGAGATAGTAGGGACTGCAAATGCTGGAAGTCAAAGTCGATAAAATGTAGAACTGGATAGACAGCAGGTCAGACAGCATCGGGGGAACAGGAAAGTCAACACTTCAGGTCTGGACCCTTCATCAACACTATGGAAGACATCTGTAAAAATGCGATTCCATAATCCCAATTCCTCCAACTCCGCCGCATCTGCTCCCAGGATGAAGCATTCCACTCTCGGATATCCCAGTTGTCCTCCTACTTCAAGGACCGTAAATTTCCCTCTCCCATGATTCATAATGTCCTCGACTGCATCTCCTGCATTTCCCGTACTTCTGCCCTCAAACCCCTTCCCTCCAATAACAATACAGATAGAGTCCCCCTTGTCCTCACATACCACTCCACCAATCTCCAAATCCAATGCGTCATTCTTCACCATTTTCTGCAATCAGACCCCACCACCAAAAAGATATTTCCTTCCCCATCCCTATTTGCTTTCTGTAGGGACTGCTCACTCCGCGACTCCCTATCAGCTTCACACTCCCCACCAACCTTTCCACCACACATGGCCCTTTCCCTGCAACCACAGAATGTGCATCACCTGCCCCTACACCTCTCCCTCACCTCCATCCAAGGCCCCAAATAATCATTCCAAATCCGGCAGAGATTCACCTGCACATCTTCTAACCTGGTCTATTGTATCCATTGCTCCCAATGTGGTCTCCTCTATATTGGAGAGGCCAAGTGCAGACTCGCTGACTGATTCATGGAGCATCTGCACTCTGTACACTCCAATCAACACCACCTTCTGGTTGCCAGCCATTTCAAATCCCCCTCCCACTCCCTTAGCAACATCTCCATCTTGGTCCTCCTCCACTGTCAAAATAAGGCCACACGTAAACTGGAGGAACAACACCTTATATTCCACCTCGGGAGCTTACAGCCCAATGACCTCAACATAGAGTTCACCAACTTCAAAATCTCCCCAGCCCCAGGCTCATCCCATGTCCAGCCCTTCCTCGTGTCCCCTCCTCCTTGACCTGTCCATCTTCCTTCTCAGCTAACCACTCCACCCTTCCCACTGACCAATCTCTACAACCCCCTACCTGCATCTACCTTTCACTATCCCACCTACCTTTCTCCCAGTCCACTCCCCCTATTTATTTCTGACCTCCCTTGCCCCTCCCAAGTCCTGTGAAGGGCCCAGACCCAAAAAAACAGACTATTTAAAGTTTTCAAGACAATTTGTAGCTCGCGTTGCGGATGAGGTTGTAGACATGCTCGCTGAGCTGGTGGGTTTGGTTGCAAACATTTCATCACCCTGCTAGGTAGACTATTGATCAGTGCCCTGGTTGACTCCTGAGAGTTTCGATAATTGAAAGGTGATTTCTTCAGAAACAGGATTGTCTTGTCATGACAGGAAATCCACTGACAGAGGAGAAACTTATTCTCAAGAAAGCTGTTGACAAGAGCAGAAACTTTGAGGTTATCAATCATAATTCATAGTTTATTAATGGGAAAAGAGACAAGGCTTTGCTGAGAGATGTTCTAGACTGAATGAACACAGCAGATTGTGAGAAAGAAGTATTTATGGAAAAGCCAATAGAACAAGCAAGGCCAGCCGAGATGATGTCAATCTTGCAGAAGAGATCACACAAAAGAAAAAGAAGCATGTCCAGCATATGGAAATCAGTACTATACCTTCAAGAAGCTGAATCACTTTGCATCCAAAAGTTTAGTTCTAAGGAATCAGAGAAAGCCTACACAGGTGGTTGTTAGATGATGATTCTGATGAATCACTCAACAGGTTGGCAACATTGAATCTAAAGGTGATAAATGGTTTGTGACAGTTAGAATGATGACTGCAGGAGGAGAAGATGAAGTGAACAGGAGGTGTCACGCTGACCCCGGTACTGTGTGCAGCATCATGAATCTTGCAGACCTGTCCAAAGTGGCTCAAGGAGGTCACCCAGAAATGAAGCCTGAAAGGTAAGGTGGGAACAACACTCAGCCCGAGAGGACAAATGAAGCTGAGATGCTAACCAAAATGCACTCATCTCAGCTGTCGCAAATCTAAAGCATGGACCGGTCACTCCAAACATGCTGAAAGAGATTTGTAGCATTTCACTGATCACTAAACCACTGAACACATTCCAAAAGATTATAAAGATTTTTTTTTTTTTTAAACAGGTCTTGGATGTCTTCCTGGTGAGTGTCACCTCAAAGTTAATGAGACTCTAAGACCAGTTCAGCATCTGCTCGAGGCCAGCCTAAAACGAAGGAGGAAAGCAAGAAAATGGTAACTGCAGCGTGCTGGATTAGGAATATGCAAACTGAGAAAACCTGGAAAACTGAGAGTATGCATAGATCCAAAGAATATAAATAAAACTTTTAATAGCTATCACCACCCCATGCCAACCATTGAACAAATTTTGAAGGCAAGTCAAACTGAATGAAAGTAGCAGAATCATAGAATCCCTGCAGGGCAGAAAGAGGCCATTCTGCCCATTGAGTCACACTGACTGACCTTCTGGAGAACATCCCACCCAGAACCATCTATCACCATAATCCCCCCCATTTCCCACAGCCAATCCATCTAACCTGCATGTCTTTGGACTGTGGGAGTAATCCCACACAGACACAGGGAGAACGTGCATACTCCACCCACACAGTCACCCAAGGCTGGAATCAAACCTGGGTCCCTGGCGCTGTGAGGCAGCAGTGCTAACCACTGTACCCTGCACCACCCACAGTTATCTAGTAATTTTCTGAATGCTATTTGGGAGATACAAATTGTTGTATGCACTGTGGCATTCCTACTACTCAGACAACACAAGATAGTCAGTGATCTTCCTATTGAGAGTTAAACCAGCTGATGTTAATGACTTCTAGTGAGATTGTAGAATGTCTGACAGCACTGATTATATCTTTCCCAATGGTGTACAAGTGAAGAATTCAGTCGCTTTGTAAAGGATTGAGAAATTCAATATGTGAAATCGTTGCACAGAGGTCGGTATCCATCACCAAGTCACCCTTTATTTACTTGTGCACATTATATGGGCTGTGGCCAGCCAGCTCAGAGTCAGTCCCCTGAACTGAAGAGATTCTAAATGTCCTGGTTATATATATATTTTTCTTTTTTCTAGTGCACAGTATACTGGCTGTGGCCAGCCATCTTAGAGTCAACCCTCAACTGAGGAGATTGTAAAACTTCTGGTTATACTGGTCAGCCAGGAGCTTTCCTGATTGGCCCAGGTTAACAAACCCAATCAAGGATCTCATAGTCAACAAGATCCAGCTGGTTCCAATCACTACAGTGTGAAGTGTGATATGTCATCTGTCTTGTATTTATTCACAGGATGAGTGTGTTACTGGCTAGGCAAGCATTTATTCCAGCCTATCCCTAATTGCACAGAGGGCAGTTAAGAGCCAATGACATTGCTGAGGGTCATACATACATCAGACCAGGTAAGGATGGCCATTTCCTTCCCTAAAGGGCATCAGTGAACCAGACAGGTTTTTCTGACAGTCAACAATGGATTCATGGCTGTCATTAATCTCTTAATTCCAGATTTTTATTGAATTCAAATTCACCATCTGCCATGGCAGGATTTGAACCTGAGTCCCCAGACCATTGCCTGGGTCTCAGGATTAACAACCCAATGATAATACCACTAGGCCATCACCTCACCTCTATACTTTCCCCCCTCAAATGAAAATGCTCAGATGGCTGGGAAAAATCACCAAAGGGATCATAAAGAAGTTAAGCAAATCCAGCGCAGACTTACACAGATAATCCTCGAGTAGAGAAATCCACCTACTAAAGGCATGGAAATGAGTCCATTCCAAAGACTAATGTTGCACTGCACTTGAACTACGCTTGTAACCATGAAATTTAGTACTGAACAAGAGGTAAAATAGAATTGTGTGTCAAATTCACCTCAAACAACAGAAAACCAAATTTCACCTTGATAAAACATTGAGTCATTGCCAGGGCTGAGAATTGGTGAGCCAGTCAATGGGCAAATTTTCAACACTTTCAAGAAAAGTCAACCCATCTGACAATGTGGGACATGTATAGAGCAGATGACTTTGACACTCAATCGTGTATTACCTTTTGTTCAGTAATTATTTCACTTTCGAAGCTGTGCCCTCACTTAATGCCATGGATCAGGAAGAAATGATGTCACCACCTGAACAGAGTACAGAATTACTGTCAATCCCATGAGTTTTCTGTTTTCCAGTAACAGAAGTGGATCAGTATCAACAAATACCATGGCAAAATAATAAGAACTACACTCTGAGAAGGAATATTTCCCCAGAAATGAGCTGATACTAGTGGAATAGTTAACAACAACATGCACATGTAGCATTAGGAGACTACAGTGCCAGGGTCCTGGGTTCAATTTCAGCCTCAGGTGACTGTCTGTGTGGAGTTTGCACATTCTCCCCGTGTCTGCATGGGCTTCCTTCAGGTGCTCCAGTTTCCGCCCACAGTTTGAAGATGTGCGGGTTAGGTGGATTGGCCATGCTAAATTGTCCATACTGTCCAGGGGCATGTAGGTTAGGTGGATTTGACATTGTAGGTGTGGAGTTACAGGGACAGGGTAGGGGATGGGTCTGGGTGGGATCCTTTTCGGATGGTCAGTGTGGACTCAATGGGCCAAATGGCCTGCTTACACATTCTGTTGGGATTCTATTCTAGTATGATTTAACGATGACATATGCGATGCATGTGCAGAGACTGATGAAAGTGGAGCTGATGAGATGAGAGATTAATGCACTACTTTCCGAATGACCAATAGGTTACTTTATGCTCATGTTTATTGGGTAACTTGCGTAACCTGTAACTGTAACATATAATGCATGCATAACCTTTTAAAATTTAGGGAATACATGATAAACAGTAGGACCCTGAGAAGTGTTGAGGATCACAGGACCTTGATGTGCCTTGATACCTTTAAGGTAGCAGGGCAGATAGATCAAATGGTTATGAAGACACATGGGACACTTGCCTTTACTGCTAGAGGGGTGAAGTTTAAGCGTAGTGGGGTTATACTGAAACTGTATGAAATCTTGGTGAGGCCATTTGAAGGGAACATAATTGAGATGTATGAAAATTACAAGGGGCATAGGCAAACTAGACAGGAAGAAACATTTCCCCTTGATAGAGTGATCAATGACCAGGGGCAGAGACTTAAGGTAAGGGGCAGTAGGTTTAAAGGAGATGTGAGGAAAACCTCAGAGGGTTGTGGGAATCTAGAACTCACTGCTTGTAAAGGGTACAGGCAGAAACCCTCATTTTGTTTGAGAAGTATTTAGATGTACCTTTATGATGCCAAGGCACACAAGGCTATGGGCCAAGTGCTGGACAATGGGATTAGAATTGTTAGCTGTGTAGATTGACCAGTGCAGACTTGATGGGCCAAAGAGCCTTTTTCTGTGCTGTAGATTGCAAAGGCTCTAAAAAAGGGGATGTTTGGAGAAATACAATTGTACCCCTTGTCTAGTGGCTGGCTTGATGTAGTCATGTGACTTCTACCTCTGCTGTTATTGCCTTTGTGTGTAATCTGTGGGAGCCATTAAACATACATCACTTGAAACATACTTCTTACCATCTTAGCCTCATATCGCAGGATGATCTTGTCCATTTCCAGCATTTTGAGGACATCCTTTTTTGGTGGTTTGGGGATGAATGACAAACAGTTCCCCAGCGAATCCTCCACTGAACCAAATCCATTGTATGGAGGAACCCACTAGAGCCAATGGGAACAGGATATTACAACACAGCTACCAATAAGAACAGGGTATTTAGCACAGCAGCTAATGAGAACAAGAGAAAAGGAGAGGCTCACGATTGGGTCTAATCAGACTCTGGGGCTGATCAGACTCTAAACAAGATGGTGGTGATATCAATGAATATAAAACATCATGATAATTGCAATGATTGCAGTAGACTAGATTAAGTGTAATGCAGGTAAATCATTATTTCACCGGGAAGGTGTGTCTAGGACCCCGGATTGAGAGGACGGAGGAAGTAAATGGGCAGCTGTTGTACCTTCTGTGTTTGTAGGGGGAGGTGTTGGGAGTGGAGGAGGAGTGGACCAGGGTGTCCTGGAGGAAATTATCCCTGCGGAAAGCTGACAAGGGAGGGGATGGGAATACGTGTCTGGTGGTGGCATCCTGTTGGAGGTGGCAGAAATGTGGCATATGATCTTTTGGATGATTGTGAGTGGTACCTGAGGACCACAGGACCCTAACAGTGTTGTGGGTAGGAAGAGAAGGGGTGAGGGCAGAAGTGTGAGAAATGGGTCAGACACGGCTCGGGGCCCTGTCCACCCAGTTATGGGAATCCTTGGTTGAGGAAAAAGTGGACATTTCAGGTGCCCCCTTGTGGATGCTGGCATCATCGGAACAGATGTGATGGGGCTGGAGAAACAGGGAGAATGGAATAGAGTCTTTACAGGAAGCAGGATGTGAGGATGTATAGTCAAGGTAACTGTAGGATTCTATGGTTCGTAATGGATATTGGTGGCCAGGCTATCCTCAAAAATGGAAACAGAAATGTCGAGGAAGAGAAGAGAGGAGTCAGAGATGGACCAGGTGAAGGTGAGAGCAGAGTGGAAATTGGAAGTGAAATTAATCATTTTTTCCAATTCTGGACAAGACAGGAAAGAAGCACTGATGATGCCATTGATATATTGGAGAAAGATTTGTGGGGAGGGACCTGTGTAGGACTGGAACAATGTTCCACAAACCCCACAAAGAGACAAACATAACTAGGGCCCATATGAGTACTCATGGCCACACCTTTGATCTGAAGAAAGTGAGAGGTATTAAAGGAGAAGTTGTTCAGAGTGAAGATGAGCTTAGCCAGGTGGAGGAGGCTGTTGGTGGATGGGTACGGTTCAGTTCAGGCCTTTTCTCCATGAAGAAGCAGAGAGCCCTGAGACCATCCTGATGTGTAAAGGGATTGCACATCTGTGGTGAAGAGGTGGTGGCTGGTGTCTACAAACTGGAAATTCTGAAACTGATTTAAAATACCAGAAGAATCACGGATGTAAGTGGGAAGGGACTGGCCAAGAGGAGAAACAATCAGGTCGAAGTGGAAGTGATAAGCTGCATTGGGTAGATCTTCAGATCATCAGCATTTGCCATTCTTTGATTATTCAAGCATCAGCTGGGGAAGATTTAGGTGACAGTGATCATTATATGATCAAGGTTTTTGTTGATTATGAGAAAGGTCAAGGTGCGAATCCAGAGTGAAATCATTAATTGGGGGGGGAAGGCCAATCTTAATGGTTTGAGAATGGATCTGGCCCAGCAAATTGGCATGAAAGACTGACACCAAGTGAACAAGGGGCTGCCTCTGAAGAAGAGACTGTGTGGCATATAGTCAACGTACATTCCTAGAGCTGCCTGGATAAAGCAGAAATAAAGTTGTATATAACAGTTCTGAGGAAGGGCCACCGGACCTGAAACGTTAACTCTGATTTTTTTCACTGATGCTGCCAGACCTGCTGAGCTTTTCCAGCAACTTCTGTTTGTGTTCCTGATTTACAGCATCCACAGTTCTTTCGTTTTTTTTCTAATTCATTCACAGGATGAGGGTGTCGCTGGCTAGGCAGCATTTATTGTCCATCCCTAATTGCCCAGATGGCAGTTAAGAGTCAACCACATTGCTGTGGGTCTGGAGTCACATGTAGGCCAGACCAGGTAAGAATGGCAGTTTCCTTTCCTAAAGGACATTAGTGAACCAAATGGGTTTTTCCTGACAATCGACAATGGATTCATGGTTATCATTAGATTCTTAATTCCAGATATTTTATTGAATTCAAATTCCACCATCTGCCATAGTAAGATTTGAACCAGTGTCTCCAGAATGCTACTGGGGTCTCTGGATTAACAGTCCAGTGATAATCCCACTAGGCCATTGCCTCACCTGTAGCATTTTATCGTAATATAACAGATATTGGGTGGCTAAGACCATTCAGTTTACTAAATGAGCACTTTACATCTGCTATCACTGAGGTCAAATTGTGGTGAAACAGGAGGTAGTGGAGACAAAGGATGGGTTATAATTAATGGTGAGGAGACACTAGAAAGGCAGGTAGATACATTATCTGCATCAGACGTGATGTGCCTGAGAGTACTGAGGGTAGGAAGGATGGAAAGGAAGAGCAGACACATAATAACATCAGAATGAGGAGCGGGGAGCAAGCCATTCAGCCCTTGAGCCTACTCCACCATTTAATACAATCATGGCTGATCTCATCTCAACCTCAACTCCACTTTCCTGCTTACTCCCCACAACCCTTCAAACCATTACCAATTAAAAATCTGTCTATCTCCCCCTTAAGTTTACTCAATGTCTCAGAATCCACCACACTCTGGGGCAGTGAATTCCACAGATTCGTGATCTATTAAGTGAAATAATTTCTCCTCATCTCTGTTTTAAATCTACCACCCCTTATCCTAAATCTATGATCTCTCATTCTAGATTGCCCCACATGAGGAAACATCCTCTCTATGTCTACTTTGTCAGTGTCCTTGAGTATCCTATATATCTCAATCAGATTTTCTCTCATTCTGACAAACTCCAGAGAATATAGGTCTAAACTACTCACTCTCTCTTTAAGACAAATCCCTCATCTCTGGAATCAATCCAGTGAACTTCCTCTGAACTGCCTCTAATACCACTACATCCCTCCTCAAGTAAGGGGACCAAAACTGTGCACAACACTCCAGGTGCAGACTCATTAATGCCTTATACAGTTGGAGCAACATTTCCCTCCTTTTATACTCTATTCCTTTAGCAATAAATGCCAAAATTCCATTTGCCTTCCTTATTACCTGCTGTACCCATAAACTTTGTGATTCACCAAATCCTCTGCACCAAAATACTCTGAAGTTTCTCTCCATTTAGTTAACCGGTTGCTACTTTATTTCTCTGACTAAAACGGATCACACTTATCCACGTTAACCTCCATCTGCCAATGTTCTGAGGAAGGGTCATTGGACCCGAAATGTTAACTCTGCTTTCTCTCCACACAGGCTGCCAGACTTGCTGAGCTTTTCCAGCAATGTTTTTGTTCCATCTGTCAAACTTTGGCTGATTCAGCTGTTCTTTTGTAAATTTCTTATTTCTTCATTCCAACTTACTTTCCTATTTTAGTGTCATTTGAAAATTTGACTCTAGTGCCTTCTTATCCATGCTTCGAAATCATGAATATCAATTGTAAATAGTTGGGGCTTGAGGACCAAACCCTGTGGCATCTCACTAGTTATTACTTGCCAAGTACTTAACTTTATCCTGGCTCTCTGGTCAAAATCTTCCAATGGTGTGAGATACCACCAGACAAGTGCCAGAAAATTACCATCTCCAGTAAGAGACAATCAAAACATTGCCACTTAACATTCAATGGCATTATTATCGCTGAATACCCAACTGTCAACATCCTGAGGGTTACTGTTGATCAGAAACTGAACTGGACTAACCTTTTAAATACCATGGCTACAAACTCACTTCCTCACTCCCCAAACCCTGTTCACCAATGACAGAGTACAAACAAGGAATTCTGGGTGAGCCTATTAATTCCAGGTTCCTGGGAACACATGAATCCAGTAAAAGAGGCCACATCACATGATTCAAACCTTTTTCTCTGGTGGTGCAGGTTTCTTGATGACATCAACAGGATGAAGTTCCACCCCCCTAATGTTCTGATAAAAGTAATTCTTGGTGAACTCATCACAGTCATAGATGAAGAATTCACGTCCGAGAAGAGTGACAGGTTGACCAACAATGAAATCCCGAGGACCATACCATTCCTTCACCTCCTGGTCAGCCACCTCCATTGAGATTGTGGGAAAATTTGCTGCAGAGGCAGTGACAGAAAAGCAGCATGTGAGAGGAAAGTAGTGATCATCAGTGAGACTCAATCCATAATCCCCAACGAGAGCCAGTGCCTAGGGGACCTTGTACCCCAGTGGGAGTCAGTGAGAGTCAGTGTGTGTGGGACTGTACCCCAGTGAGAGCGTGTGTGTGTGTGGGACTGTA